TATAGGTGCCAAGACAGCTGTCTCAATTGAGGAAAGTGTAGCTCGTGTTCAAGCTATCGCTGATGCTGCTCATAGCATCAATCCTAATGCCATTGTGCTCTGTCATGGAGGTACAGTTCAGCACCTTTTTGTTCTTTATAATGAAGTTCTGATGATTCTCTATTGTAGTTAATTTTCTATTTTGACATGCTGTTGGTTCCTTAAATTATTCTCACTAACATTGAATCTGGTGCATTTTGCAGGTCCAATCTCTGGTCCTCTAGAAGCTGAATTCATATTGAAAAGAACCAAGGGAGTTCATGGGTTTTATGGAGCATCGAGCATGGAGAGGCTACCAGTTGAACAAGCTATAACAAGTACCGTTCAGCAATACAAATCAATATCCATGAAGTGAACTTGAACATCAGTTCCTAATCGAGTCAGATTCTTTTCCTAACGTTTTTTTTTTCTTACAACTCGTGACTGTGATTAAATAAAAATATGTCAAGTAATGTGTGAGAATAATCCCGAGTTATCCATGTATAACGTTGTTAAATTAACATTTGATTGTTCATATACTTGGTAAATGGGAAGAACTGAGGCTGTGAGGCACGTGCAAGTCTTATCAAATAATGCTAATTGACATGACAGGTTTTTGTTTTGGTTGGCTATTGTTTATTTATAGCATTGTCTATAACTTTGCATATTAGTACTGCAACAGCATTGCTAGAGCCGTTTGTTATCCAAGAAAAGGATAAAACACAAACCAAAAATGATACTGAAGGGAAACACATCATGGATTTGAATCCTATCTTGTCTCTGCATCTCGAATTCCTGCTGGCCTTCTGCTTTCGCTTTATTGGTTTTTATCAGTTTGGCAGAGTCTGCATGTTCTCATTATATGAACAGAATTGTACTTAAGCAATGATACATGTTTAATTGTTTTCACAGATTTCATTTCATTCTGTCATGTTCGATACTATTTTTCTCTAGTCGATGTAAGAGCCTGAAGTGGCACCTTTTTCCAATATTGATTGAGATGCTTCAGTCTTGAGTAATGAGGAGTTTTTCTTTCCCATCAAAACTATTAAGTTCCCAATGATGCACTTAATAAGAAATCCATCTCGTACATATAATATTTAGCTATCTAGGTGAAGACTGTTTCTGTCTAGGCTTGGCAAGCCTTTTTATGTAGGTAGAGTTTCCACTTGGTTCTGATCTGTGCCTTCCAAGCACTGAAGACACTTAACATGGAGAAATAATCCTCTTAGGTCATCCAAGCTTATTTGGCTTTGTTCAAAGCCTTCAAGGTTATGGGACAGCCACATCTTAGTCGAGGATATGCGATTTCTTTTCTAGGAAGGATCAAGATCGTCAACAGTCCAGCTGCACAATAATTTCAGGGTTAGAATCTGATCATGTAATATGTAGAATAACTGATTAAGAAGGGACAGAAAGTTCTCAGCCGTAGGAGGTGTGAAAATATATTTACTGAGTACAGTGACTAATAACTCACTTATATCCGGCTGTCAATCAATGTAAAAAACCCAACATTGTCACTTTTGCCATATTCATCCCCAAAGCATGTCCTAGGTCCTGATCCAAATGGGATGAAAGTATACGGCTTCTACGTTTCCTGGAACATGAAATACAGGTACACTGTAAATCAGGATCTCATGCTTAATAGTTGGTACTGCTGGAATTCTATGCAAGGGAAACAAAATCAATGCAGCTAGTAGGGCTTATTACGTCAAATCTTGAAGGGTTGAACTGCATAGGATCCTTGTACAAATTAGGGTCATACTGTATACAGGTTGCATCAATGTTTACAAGCCACCTTTTCTCTCTCTCAAAGCCTGTAATGGACAAATTTGTTGATAGAGAGATGCTAACATACAGAAGTATGTGTTTTAAATTTAGATAAACAACAAAAGAGACTTGCCATCAATTGTGCAGTCCTGGAGTGCAACACGGGGAAACCACTACACAACATTTGACATTCTCAGCGTTTCTTTGACAACCTGGAGAATGCAAGCAGTAATACGATGATGCAGTTCCACGCATGCGGTAAAAGAAGAGAGCTTAGGGGACAGCTCGTTTGTTTCTCACCTTTAAGCCATATGACATATTCTCAAGACCTTCAAGGATAAGTGAGGTTCCTTCTTGCTTATTTCTGGCTATTGCCTGTTGTTCTTCCTGCAAGCAGGGAAAACTTACAAAAGAAGAAAAAAAATTTGGGTTTATTTTGGCTTTATAATCCCTTTATCCTATCCTAAACTTTCCATTTAAAATTGGGTTACTAATGGTTGAAATCTTTCATTGCATATTTATGTAAATGATTTCTTATTCTGCTCCAAATGCTCCATGGATTAAAAGTTCTGTTCTAATCAAGTTTGTACAGTGAGATTAAAGTTTCACCCCAAGCCTGTCTCGGACTTCTCTGTTTTCATCCAGGAATTTGACACACCACATAATAGCAGATGCAGTGGTGTTCTTCCCTGCGATCAAGAGTGTTATAAGGTTATCTATTATCTCTCAATCATCAAGCTTTTCATTTGGTGGATATGAATCTCTCTACAGTAAGGAATGTAGAAAGTCCTCGGAGGTCTCCATTCCACTCCGTCTTCTAGCAATCATCTCTCTAAAGGATTCCATGAGTCTTTTACGGGCCTGTATAGTCTATTTATGTTAGCATAAACACCTTTGAGTTGAACAAATGAAATCAACAGAGTAAGATAGATGAAACAAGCTATCTCAGTTCGATTTTTCAACCAGCTTTTACATTTCATCATCATGCCATAATTTCTTGCCATTTTCTCAGGTCTGGCCTGGACGCCTGTCTCAGGACGAAGCCACTGCAAACCCCGTGAACTTTATTTGTACCTTCTTGCCTCTATGGTATCTGGTGCCAGGAATCAGAACAGGAAAGGCTAACAAGGACTTGTCAACATCAATGCAGTCCTTTTAAATCTGTCTTAGAAAGGAATCATCTGTAACACTCATCAACATGTTGCCCATTGCATCAAAGTTCATCTGCAAGACCACATTTTCAGATAGTTCAGGAACTCAGCACATGTTGGTAGCACTATTATTTCTCTAGTTCTACCAAACTGATAATCGATGACATGATTCATTGTTGTTGACTCAACACACTTATTGCCTTCATGCCAAAGTCAAGCACTGAAAAGCTTTTCCCACTTTCTTCTAGTTTATTTAGCCTTTCAATCATCATCTTGCTAATTTTTTTTCACAAATGTAGATAAAGAATCCATGGAGAAAGGATCGAATAGAAGACGCCTGATTCTTTTGTGGCTCTCCTGTTTTACATCTAGCACACTCTTTCTTACCCACTGCATCTGCCATTGGTTTCGCATATTCCTTGTCGAATCAAACAAAATCACTTGTAAAGATCGTTTTTGCACCCTCAGTGCTTGGAAGAAATGCATGGATCTGCCCAAATATTCTCGTTTTGAACCACTTTCTGTACCTGCTTTCACCAGAAATTTCAAGTTTATATGAACTCTATACTTTTACTGCTACATGATGACAACTTCAAATCTTTTACAAAGTACTGTAAAAAAGATTAAACAGTGTTTAACTTTGATCTAGAATTGGTGTCAAACTTTGACTTGATGAATGCTAGAAACACATACACATACACATTTAATAATTTTCTGCTTCATCTGGTATGGCTTAAGTGATTTTTAAGTCAAAAGAGCTAAACTAGACTAAATTAGTTCATACAGGTTGAAGTTTAAGTGTATCTTGTTTCAATAGTTAAATAAATAGAGCAGACTCAATCAGTCTAGACGTGCACTGACAATATAAGCATCATCGATAAATTTTCATTTCCTTAATTCCAGTATGTTGTCTCAGAAGTGGAGCAGTTAAGATCCATGCAACCAGCTTGAGAAAGCAAAACATCATAATTGACAAAAATGAATAGACAGGGTGCTATATTCCATATGTACAGGAATAATAGATACCATATGTGATATAATGGTACTAATAGAGGGTGAAGAACTAGAACGAATCACTAACCATAGTTGTCACAGTCTAACAAAATCGTAACACCCCTTTGTGCTGTTAGTGGCTGAAAGAAAAGAGAAGGTTTCACCTAGGAAAGGTAATCCCAGTCGGCCGGGGATGTTAGCATTATTGGTTGAGATTCCTCTCCAAGATTTCAATAGGAAAATTGTTATTCCTATAGAAAGCACTGCAATCATGATGATATCACAGTGGTTCTGGGCAAGAAAGACAAGGTTTTCCATTGATGGATTCGACATCTTCAGGTTGGCTGATCAGGCAGATGTAGTACAAAGCTTGTATTTTATTGTTCAGATGATGCTCCACTGTATGTCAATAAAATAAAATAAATTTTCTGTTGAGCTGTCTACCATGACATGGGGCATCCGAATCGTATGCTTAGACTTTAAACTACACAAAATTCACATTCATTGACTCAGAGTAGAGCTTATATCATTCCCACTGATAATAGTTTGTTAAGATATTCTTTTCAATTTTTCAATAGTAATCATGATATGGATTAAAATTCAATTCAGACAAGCTGGACTCATGCTTTAGTATAGTGATGTGAAGATTCCTTCCACAGAAGGTGCTATGGTGCTGTGCACATATCATATATGTTGCGCCATTATATTGTGAATGGTGACCCAGCAGCTGGGACTTGAGTCAAATAGAATTTCAAACATATTCTGTTACCTAAGGAGGAGGAAATTGATGATTGGAAGTGTAAAGATGTAGGCAAAGGTTAGGTCTCAGTGGAGCTTTATGGAAGTGGG